CACTCCTGACCTTGAGCAATCCCCCGCCTCGCCTCCAAGAGCTAGATTACAGGCGTGAGCCACAGCGCCCGCCAACTTGTTGTTTATTTAATTTAAAAATATTAATATTAGGTGGGTACAAATGTTTTCATTATATAGATACCTTGTATAAAGCCAAAGTATTCATTGTACCTGATAGATAAGTTTTTATCCCTCAGCCACTCCCACCCTCTACTTGGTGTCATATGCCTGTTAAAGTTAGCACTCTTGTATTTACATTATAGGTTAATGCTATGCACTGAAGTTAGTTTGTTGTTATTTTTTCCTAACAACCAGACTACCAGGGATGAATTTAGTTGCTTCTGTCCCTGAATTAGAGCTCATAAATAGCAGAGATAACTGGAAATAAATAGTTAGCCTTCATATGCAGATGTCCCTGACATTTGTCTTTTTTTTTTTTGAGACAGTGTCACTCTGTGGCCGAGTGGCATTAGCCTAGCTCACAGAAACCTCAAACTTCTGGGCTCAAGCGATCCTCCTGCCTCAGTCTCCTGAGTAGCTGGGACTACAGGCATGCGCCACTATGCCCGGCTAATTTTTTCTATATATATTAGGTAGCCAATTAATTTCTTTCTATTTATAGTAGAGACGGGGTCTCGCTCTTGCTCAGGCTGGTTTTGAACTCCTGACCTTGAGCAATGCGCCCACCTCAGCCTTCCAGAGTGCTAGGATTACAGGCGTGAGCCACCGACATTTGTCTTTAATCCTGTACAATATTAGAAGACAAGTTCAACTTTTAATTTTATTGTAGTGGTTGTTCTCTAGACTTAAGAAAGCAGTTATCCTAATTCACTTATGTCACTTTCTAATTAATTTTGGATTCCACTTTGTTTCTTAGATATTTTGAAAATAAGGTCTTTTGTTGTCATAGTTTTACTTTCTTTAAGTGGTATTTATTTTCATGTTTTTTTCAATGTATACTGTTCCTTAGAGATTTTTGGGTTTTTTTGTAGACAGTCTTGCTCTGTCACTTGGGGCTAGAGTGCCATGACGTCAGCCTAGCTCATGGCTCATGCAAATTCCTGGGCTCATTCAATCCTCCTGTCTCAGCCTCCCAAATAGCTGGGACTATAGACATGCACCACCACACCCAGCTAATTTTTCTAACTTTAGTAGAGATGGGGTCTCACTCTTGCTCAGGCTGGTCTCAAACTCCTGAGCTCAGGGGATCCTCCTGCCTTGGCCTCCCAGGGTGCTAGGATTATAGGTGTGAGCTACCTCGCCTGGCTTAGAGTTAGGTTGTGAAAAGCCGTGCTTGTTGGGTGCAGTGGCACACTCCTATTGTGAGGCAGGAGGATCACTGAAGCCCAGGAGTTTGAGGTTGTAATGGGGTATGATGATGTCACTGCACTGTAGCCCAAGTGACAGAGTGAGACCCTGTCTCCAAAAAAAAAAAAAGAAAAGTGCCTTGTGCTGTTCGGGCCTTTGGCTTAGGTATGATGTAACATAAAAAAAGACTCCTTCCAATGACTCATGTTTCTTTTGCCCTGAAGCTGCAGCTATGCTAATTGATATTTTTTATAATACATATTTTAAAACATGCATTTTTTTTGACAGGCTGTGGTTTTAAACTATTCAGGCTGTGGTTTTAAACTTATTTGAAAAGTTATGTAAAATTTGGGATGTTAGTTCAAATATTGCATGAATTATAATTATTCTAATTTAAATCTTGTTAATGAACTTCCTTCTTAGGTATTACATCAAATACCAATAACGGATCTATGGTAGCCCACAGTAGTTATGATGAAATTGAAGGAGGTGGCTTCTTGGGTGAGACGCTATGAAAGTTTTTTTCTTTAATCTCTTTTTTCTGATTATAGAATTAATACGTATGTGCTCATTGTAGGAATCTGTGTTCGTTGTGAGAAACTAAGAAGAAAACTTCATAATTATGTAGCCATACGTACTGTTAACATTTTTGATTTCCATGTATTTAGATTTTTGAGTAGTTTTTCTTCCCTTCATAATTGGAATCATTGGCTTTATTGTAATTATGTTATGACTATGGAGTATGTTTATCAATTATTATATAAGTTGTTTTGATATAAAATTTTAGTCTGAATACAAAATTTAATACATGAGGTCTGTTACCTTGTTTCACACCTGTAATCCCAGTGACTCTGGAGGCTGAGGTGTGAGGATCGTTTGAGCCCAGCAGTTTGAGGCTGCAGTGCGCTATGATCGTTGAACAGCCAGTGCCCTCCAGCCAGGGCAACACAGAGAGACCCTGTCTCTTAAAATAATAATTTAGTACATCATATGAAAGTAAATGAACTATACCAAACTAATTTTTGTGTTTATTCCTATAATCTAATGGATTTATGTGTTGATTTAAAGTACTCTGGAGCAGCGGTCCCCAAGGTCGCCAGCCTTTTTGGCACCAGCTACTGGTTTCATGGAAGACAATTTTTCCGTGGGACAGGGTTCGGGAGGAGGCAGAGCTCGGGTGGTGATAAGGGAAACCCAGAGCTGCTTTGCTTACTCACCGGCCATTCACCTGCTGTGCGCTCGCCTTCCTTTATTAACTTTAATGGAAGATAGTTTTTTCTGGGGGTAGGGGCAGTGGAGGGAGGCTAAGCTCTGTGTCCTGGCCCCTAACGGCTGCGGATCGGTATCAGTCTGCGGGACTGGGGGCTGGGGACCGCAGCTTCTGGAGTATTAAATAGAACTTAAAAGTTACCTTGTTTCTAGCAACACCACAGCTTGCTAATAAGAATCCGCAAATGAGCCGCAGTGTTGGATATTCATATCCCTCCTTACCACCTGGTTACCAGAACACAACACCACCCAGTGCAACTGGAATGCCGCCCTCTTCCTTGAATTACCCAGGTGGACCACAGGCCTTTACTCAGGTAAACTTTTTGTTTTTTTAAACTATTTTCCACCTTTTGGTTTAAACTGTATATATATGAGAAACGTTTTAGGAAGTTATATTGAACATTTTTGCAACCAAAAAACCATATTGGACATTTCATGATGACTTTGTCCTTATACATTTCTCTAGAACCAAAAGAGTGTCCAGGAAATCTAAATTATACTTTTGTTATGTAGAGAGAAATTAACCAACTCTTTACACACTTACAAAACTTACTTTAAAATTATATCTCTGTAGACTCCCTTAGGTGCTAATCATTTAAGTGCAAGCATGGGTGGATTAAGTCTACATCCAGAGGGTCTAAGAGTTGTCAATCTTCTTCAAGAAAGAAGCATGCTTCCCTCAACACCTTTGCAGCCTCCAGTACCAAATTTGCATGAAGACATCCAGAAACTCAACTGTAACCCTGAGTAAGGCTTCAAATAGCACTTCTAAATAAACATGACATTTTGCATGTTCTAAAGTTTTCTAGATTTTTTTAGCCACTTCAGGTATTATGAATAAGCTGTACAGTATATTAGTTTATAAAAGAAGTTCTAGATACAGAAGATAGAACTCTGTTACTTGCTTATTTGTGATTTGAAATGTTCTAAGTCGTGAAATAGGGTTGTAACCCCTGAACTGATTCTGCTTTTATCCGCTGTAATGAGATTATGATATTAATTATCATTATGGCGACTACATTCTTTCTTCAAAATCCAAAGTATAGGGATTTGTTTCTATATAATCCTTTATTTGCTCTCATTTTAAATTAATTTCATAACAAACATAATACTTTTTAATCCTGAAAAATTTGCCATAAGTTTAAATGTATGTGGTGAAGACTTTCTCATAAATTGAATTTGGTACTTTTAAATATTTTTCTTTTTATATTTTATTCTTTCTTTGTTTTTTGTTATTTCCCCATTTCAGTCGATGCTGCCAATAAATTATATTTTTAGAATATTCAGTAAAACTGAACTTTTATTTATTTTATTTATTTATTTATTTTTTTGAGACAGAGTCTCACTTTGTTGTCCAGGCTAGAGTCAGTGCCGTGGCGTCAGCCTAGCTCACAGCAACCTCAAACTCCTGGGCTCGAGTGATCCTTCTGCCTCAGCCTCCCGAGTAGCTGGGACTACAGGCATGCGCCACCATGCCCGGCTAATTTTTTCTCTATATATTAGTTGGCCAATTAATTTCTTTCTATTTATAGTAGAGACGGGGTCTCGCTCTTGCTCAGGGTGGTTTCAAACTCCTGACCTCGAGCAATCTGCCCGCCTTGGCCTCCCAGAGTGCTAGGATTACAGGCGTGAGCCACCACGCCCAGCTGAAACTGAACTTTTAAATAATAAACTTTACATTTGCAAATTTGGGTCATCACCTAGTAATTGCAGTGTAATCTTTTTTTCTTTTACCTAAGTTTTGTATATAAACCAAGAAGAGATTATTTTGGTTATATAGGATAACCATCTATTCTCTATTTCTGTGTGGGACTTAGATTAGTATTTTAATGGGATAAAATTTGAGAGAGAATCTATAGAAATATTTCACATCCAGTATTAAAATGTATACCTTTTAAATCTTTTTTTTTTTTTTTTTTTGTCCAAAACAATCATAGCAGCAACTGACATGAGCTTTTTACTTTGATGCAGATTATTTCGATGCACACTGACTAACATTCCTCAGACTCAGGCATTGCTGAATAAAGCCAAACTTCCTTTGGGGCTGCTGCTTCATCCTTTCAAAGACCTACTGGTATGTTTCTGTGGTGAAAGTAAATGTCTTGTGGAATATTACCTTGGTGGTGAAAATTTTATGCAACAATGCAAGAATCACATATAAAATTTGTTTGAGCTATCTTTAGGAAGTTGACCATTGACAGATTTCTTTATTTGTAATTCAATCAGAAACTATATTACCAAACACTTTAAAAAACTAGATAAAACGAACATATTGAAAAACCCAAGAGGTACTGAATAGAACACATGTACTAAAAGAATATAAATAAATGAACTGAAATATTTTAGTAAGTTGTAAATTATTTACCCATTAAAGTACTTTACCACAATTTCTACATTCTGCCATTATTAGAGTAAAATTTGTTATTTTAGGATGTTGTTCTGGAGTGGAGGCGTCTCCTGGCCCCCGAGGTAGGGGCCAAGTGCCACTCTTCACTAAATAAACAAACAAATAAAAAAGTTGTTCCAAAGAAAAAAGAAGCTGATCTACCTTGTCCTAAGACTCTGGGACTTCGACATACGGCTACATACTCATGAGGATTGGCACATGAGTGAGGTGGCTTTCCCAAAACAAACCTCCTTTTTTTTTTTTTTTTTTTTTTTTTTTGAGACAGAGTCTCGCTTTGTTGCCTAGGCTAGAGTGAGTGCCGTGGCATCAGCCTAGCTCACAGCAACCTCAAACTCCTGGGCTCAGGCAATCCTCCTGCCTCAGCCTCCCGAGTAGCTGGGACTACAGGCATTCGCCACCATGCCCGGCTAATTTTTTGTATATATATTAGTTGGCCAATTAATTTCCTTCTATTTTATAGTAGAGACGGGGTCTCGCTCTTGCTCAGGCTGGTTTTGAACTCCTGACCTCGAGCAATCCGCCCGCCTCGGCCTCCCAGAGAGCTAGGATTACAGGCGTGAGCCACCGCGCCCAGCCAAACCTCCTTTTGATGAGAGGATTTCAGTGCCTTTGTTGATTTTTAAATTAAAAAAAATTTTTTTTTTTGAGACAGGGTTTTGCTCTGTCTCCTGGGCTAAAGTGTAGTGGTATCATCATAGCTCATTGCAGCCTCAAACTCCTGAGCTCCAGTGATCCTCCTGCCTTAGCCTCCCAACTGGGACTACAGGCAGGTGCCACCACGCCCCACTACCTTTTTTTGTAGGCAGAGTCTCACTCTTGCTCAGGCTGGTCTCCAACTCCTGGCCTCAAGCAATCCTCCCAACTTGGCCTCCCATAGTGTTAGGATTATAGATGTGAGTCACTTCACCTGGATTTTATTGATTTTTTTTTTTTTTTTAGAGATGATTTTGCTGTATTGCTCAGGTGGAGGTGCAGTGACTATTTATAGGCACAGTCATGGCACACTGCAGCCTTGAACTTCTAGGCTTAATCCATCCTCCTGCCTCAACCTACTGAGTAGGCTCTAGATGCTGTGCTTGGCTGAGGCTTTAGAACTTTAAATATGTAGGATAAACTTTAAATAGGAACATAATTGCAAAGTTTAATTAAATATTTAAATATAATTTAACCTTATAATAGTTATTTTATGAGAACTAAAGAGGCCTCTTAATGTAACATCAAGAAACTTTGTAATACTTTCAGTGCTCATTTGTTTTTAGAGTGTTAATCCTTTTCCCTTTACTGTCCATCCCAAAAGTATATTGTTAATTCACTATCTTGATTTTGCAGTGTGAATGTTTAATGAGAAAATACTTTTTCTGAAAGACAGATTTTAAGGAGAATGGTCCTGGAGAGAAACAATACAGTTTAAAATCAATACATTTTAGCTACATAATTTTTTTGTGTGGCAGTTTGAACACATCTTTTATCCTAGGTTTTTTCTCTGAAATTATAATATTATAATGTAATATTCCAACAATTATTTAGAAGGGATGGATTAATGCTTATTACCCTTTCAACGTGATGATCATCGTCATTAAAAACTTAGTTCTGTTTTTTCAGCAATTGCCTGTGGTTACCTCCAGTACAATTGTGAGATGCCGTTCATGCAGAACGTACATCAACCCTTTTGTCAGCTTTCTTGATCAAAGGAGATGGAAGTGTAACTTATGTTACCGAATCAATGATGGTATGCTTTTTTGAAACATTAAAAAATTTCTACTTGCATTGTAGGGAAATCAGATAATACAAATGTGAAGTTAAAAAAAATCCCTCTTATTTACCTATAATCAATCTTTCCACTCAGGGAATACTGTTGCTAACTGTAAATAAATAATTATATACTTTTAAAATAAAAAATATAATACCTTGATACCACTTTTTTATATTTATTATATTTTTGGGTATATAATAAGTGGTATATTTCATGGTATTAAGCCAGTAAAATAAGAAATACTTTTATTTAGAAATTGTCTCATGCCTTTCCTCTAGGCTGAAAGAAAGTAAGTCAACACAATTGCTGCCTAATTCTTTCACTGCTGTGTGAAGGGAGGTGGGCAGTGCTAGAAGGTTAGTCGGATGTAGTTTGCTCAGTAAGTGAGGAGGAGAAAGAGATCTCTCTCAGTAACTTATTTCACAGTTTATGTTTGAGGAATATCTTCCAGCCAACAACATTTTTAGGATTAGACAAGAAAATGGATATGCCAATATCCACATTGAAAATTAAGTGTCAGTGTGAGAGGAAATTTTATTAAGAGCTGGGAAAGAGAGAAATATAAGAGATTTTTTTGTTTGTTTGTTTTTTGAGACATTTTGTTGCCCAGGCTAGAGTGAGTGCCATGACGTCAGCCTGGCTCACAGCAACCTCAAACTCCTGGGCTCAAGTGATCCTCCTGCCTCAGCCTCCCGAGTAGCTGGGACTACAGGCATGCACCACGACGCCCGGCTAATTTTTTCTATATATATTAGTTGGCCAATTAATTTCTTTCTATTTGTAGTAGAGATGGGGTCTCACTCTTGCTCAGGCTGGTTTTGAACTCCTGACCTGAGCAATGCACCCGCCTCGGCCTCCCAGTGCTAGTATTAGAGGTGTGAGCCACTGCGCCTGGCCAACATAAGAGATTTTAAAAGCCAGTTTTATTGTTTACCTGTGTTTGTTTTTTGAGTAAAGGGAGAGTAAGATAAGAATATTTTTTCCTCTATGATAATTCAGAAAGTATACATATAGTCTTTAGTACACCTTTAAAATCTTATGTGTGGGTACTTTAATATAAGAAATGAAATTATAATAAAAGTTGAAGCCCCCTTTCTTATGCAAAGCAGTCCAATTCATGAACTACAGCTTACCCTCTAGGGTACATAGGAATTGAAATTTCTAAATAGTTATAAGGAAGACAGATATAGTGATAATTAATTTAAAAAATACTCTTTGATCACTATTGTATCATAAGTGGTAGGCCCCTGGTGATGTGCCATAAAGGCTGTTTAATTAATGAAGCTAACTAAACCCTCATGGGCTTGGCCTCCGAAGTTGTTTTATCATAGCTTCTAAGTCCAACCAGAGTCTGTACGTTTCATATGTCAAATGTTAATGTCCTTTATAATTGGGAAATTTAAGAAAATAATTGACATTTAATGAGTTTTTCCTTCTTTTTTTTTTTTTTTTTTTCTTTTATACAGATTTTGTTTAATGAGTTTTTATCACCTTTTCAAGCGATTTTAGGAGAGCAGGTTTAGCAAGATTTAAGACAAAGGCTATGAAGCCATAGGAAAAGAAAAGTTACAGTGACTGTAGTTCTAAAAGGGAGAAATATTTATTGCCATTTAATATGTGAGGAACTTGAATGGAACTTTTTAAAAAAAGTGAATTTATCTCTTAATTTAGAGCCTACATGGAATTATTTATAACCCTCTAAATTAAGAAAGTGGCCAAATGCAAGATAGATTACATTAATGCTTTCCGTTTTATCAATATATGTATTGTTAACTGTATATAGTTCCTGAAGAGTTCATGTACAACCCTTTGACCAGAGTTTATGGAGAACCTCACAGAAGACCAGAAGTTCAAAATGCTACTGTTGAGTTTATGGCTCCTTCAGAATACATGGTAAACTTTCATTTTTAATACAGTATGCTCATTTCGTAATATCAGGTTTTCCAAAAACAACATAGCATCCTTTAACAGAATTTTATGGTTTTAAATTTATAAAAGTATGATATTTATTCATTATAAAAGTAGTTTATTAGCATGCAAGGGTATGTTTGAAAAGTAAAAGTATATGCAAAGTTCTACTTAAGTTTCTTGTGTATTCATCCTGAAATATGCAATATAATGTTGGGATCACATTTACTTTTAAGCCACATCCAGCTTTTTTCTATTATAAATAATGCTGTGATGGACATCCTTTTGCAAATACTATACTTTTCTACAATTGTGAGGGTATTTGAGATCTTGCATTTTAAAAATTTTTATGCCTAGCGCTTAATTAACACTTTATATTTTACTTTTATATATATGTATTTTTGTTTTGTTTGTTTTTGAGACAGGGGATGGCCCTGTTGCCTGAGCTAGAGTGCAGTGGTGTCATCATAGCTCACTGCAGTATCAAACTCCTGGGCTCAAGCGATCCTCCCCCCTGCTACAGCCTACCAAGTAAATGGGACTGCAGGCATGCACCACCATGCCTAGCTAATTTCTGTATTTTTTGCAGAGACAGGGTTTCACTGTGTTGCCCAGACAGGTCTCAAACTCTTGGCTTCAAGTGATCCTCCCACCTTGGCCTTCCAGTGTGCTGGTGTCAGCCACTGCTTGGGACGGAGCACTTACATTTTGGACGATCACAAATAATACTCTGAAGAAAGCGAAGAGAAATGCTGTTAATTCTGTTTTACGGGTCTCAAAACAGACTTAGGTTAAGTGATTTGCCAAATACTTAGTAAGTGGTAGACGCTGTGTAAAAATCCAAACCTTTGAATTTGGCTACTTTTTCACTGTGCCATAATTCCTTCAAGGGAAAGGGGAATATGAAGATTAGACATAACACTAACTTTTGATAGTTTATTATTTTAGTGTATTTTTGTGCCTTTAGTTAGTTAGGTCCATTATTATGTGGAATTTATTGGGAGGGGCAGTCTTCTTTCTTTTTCTTTCTTTTTATTTTTTAATTAAAAAAATTTTTTTTTAGAGACAGGGTCTTGCTCTGCTGACAAGGGTAGAGTGCAGTGGTATAATCCTAGCTCACTGCAACCTCAAACTTCCGGGCTCAAGCGATCCGACCTCAGCCTCACGAGTAGCTGGTGCTACAGGCGCCTACCGCGTCCAGCTAATTTTGGCCAGTCTCTTTTTACCACAGAGAAGATTCAATGTAGAAAATACTTTGCGGCACTTAAGCAGTTGGTAATAGCTATCTGCAGTTATGTGTTCCATTATTTAATTAAAACCAAAAAAGCAGAAGCATTTGTTCCCTGGATTGGCCTTCCTGGCTTCCTTTTATCTCCTAGGTTTACAAAAGTGATTTTCCTTTTTTCTTTATTTAGAGACAGGGTATCGTTGTCCAGACTGGAGTGCAGTGGTGCAATCACATCTCACTCCAGCCTCGAACTCCTGGGTTTAAGCAATCCTCCTGCCTCAGCCTCCCAAGTAGCTGGAACCACAGGTGCACGTCACCTCACCCAGCTAATTTTATTTATTTATTTTTTATTTTAAATAATTATTGTTATAATCTTTTTTAAACTTTTATTTACTTTTTCTTCAGTGAAGAATCAATGTTAGTGAGAAGCTAATTTTTATTTTTTTGTATAGAGGGAATCTTGCCATGTTGCCCAGGCTGGTCTTGAACTCATAGGCTCAAGTAATTCCCCTGCCTTGACCTTCAATATTGCTGGGATTACAGGCGAGTGCCACTGCACCCAGCCTGACTTCCTTTAAATTTGGAAACTCTCCTATAGCAAGAGATTTTTGCTTCTTCCTGGCTTATCTCTTGGTTGACAGGTTCTATGAATTTGGCAAGTGATGCATATAAAAATTATTATAGTTGGTTTCACATCTGCAGTTTCAACCAACGGTGGATTGAAAATATTAAAAAAAATACAACAATAAAAATAATACAAATTAAAAAATATAATATAACAACTATTTACATAATTTATATTGTATTAGATATTATAAGTAATCTAGAGATGATTTAAAATATATGAGGGCCGGGCGCGGTGGCTCACGCCTGTAATCCTAGCACTCTGGGAGGCCGAGGCGGGCCGATTGCTCAAGGTCAGGAGTTCAAAACCAGCCTGAGCGAGACCCCGTCTCTACCATAAAAATAGAAAGAAATTAATTGGCCAACTAATATATATAATATAAAAATCAGCCGGGCAAGGTGGCGCATGCCTGTAGTCCCAGCTACTCGGGAGGCTGAGGCAGGAGGATTGCTTGAGCCCAGGAGTATGAGGTTGCTGCGAGCTAGGCTGATGCCACGGCACTCACTCTAGCCTAGGCAAGAAAGCGAGACTCTGTCTCAAAAAAAAAAAAAAAATAAATAAAATAAAATAAAATATATGAGAAGATGTGTATAGGTTATATGCAAATAATACGCCCTTTTATGTAAGAAACTTGAGCATCTGGGGATTTTGTTATTCAAGGTAGGTCCTAGAACTGTTATCTTCGAGGGCAGATAATGAGGAAAGACTGTATACTACCTGCTCAGTTCTGGTTGCGGTTATTTGATGCTTTTTGTTGAATTGAAAGCAAGTCTTTGGATTTAGAAGTTTAAAATACAGAGTCTTAGATTTTTATGGAATTTGGCTGAACAATGTATTAGTTAAATAAACAGCTGAAGCTAACTTGTCATTTTTAGAACTATAATTTCTCTAAATTGTGAAATGTAACACACATATAAAAAAGTCCATGAAACATAAATATACAAGTTACCAAATACTTATAAACACTTTTGTTAGCACTACCCAGAACAATAAATTGAACAATAAATTGAACATTGACAATACTGTCAGAAGCCCTTCTGATCATATTTCCTCCCCTTCCTGTTCTAGAGAAAACACTCTTCTGAATTATGGCAATCACAGACTCATTTTTCTTTAAAGTATGCATTTGTAAACAATATAGAATAGCTTTACCCATTGTAGTCTCCACTTAATCTGCAAATAATGCTTATTTTATTGTTTTGCTATACGTGGACCTGGCAATTGATAAGTTTAAATTTAGTCCTGTTGGATGTACTTAACAGGATCTTTTTTTTCCTTTAGTTACGACCACCTCAACCTCCAGTGTACCTCTTTGTATTTGACGTGTCTCACAATGCAGTTGAAACTGGATACTTGAATTCAGTTTGCCAGAGTTTGTTAGACAATCTGGATTTGTAAGTGTCTCAATTCAACTTAAATCTGAAACTAACAGTGTTTGCAAAAGAATAAGTAGTTTTCAAAATACAAAACAAAAAGCTATGTTCTAAAAGACCACTTAGATTAGTGGTTACCTTAGGCTTCATTTTCTCTTAGAAATGTTAGTATTGTGAACAGGAAGAATAATGTAATGGAATGAACCTCTAGGCGCCTATTCCCCAACTTCACTATCTTCAGCATTCTTCTGTTCTTGCTTCATCTGAACCTTCCCCTCCACACACACACTTTTTTATCCTATTAAGAATTTTAAAGCAGCTCTCAGCCAGCATATTGTTTTGCCTGTAAATAATTCAGGACTACATTTTTTTTTTTTTTTTTGAGACAGTCTTGCTCTGTCACCTGGGATAGAGGGCAGTGGTCTCATCATACTTCACTTCAACCTCAAAATCCTGGGCTTGAGTGATCCTCCTGCCTCAGTCTCTGGAGTAGCTGGGACTACAGATGTACACCATCACACCTGGCTAACTTTTTCTATTTTTAGTAGAGACAGGGTTTTGCTGTTGCTCAGGCTGGTCTCAAACTCCTGAGCTCAAATAATCCTTCCACCTCTGTGTCCCAGAGTGCTAGGATTACAGGTGTGAGCCTGTTGAGACCAGCCACGGGACTAATTTTTAACCCTAACTATGATACTGGTATCACTCCAAGGAAAATTAGCAATAATTCCATAATATGATGTAATACCCAGTTCATTTTTTGTTGCTAGTTATCTCAAAAATGTATTTGTACTGTAGGTTTGTTGGAGTAATAATCCAAACAGTGTACAAAGATTGCATTTGGTTTTCATGTCTCTTAAGTCTCTTAAAATAACATATTTCAAATGGTTCTTAGATATTTAGTGTAATCCATAAAAGCTAGAGTGACCTTTCAGTGTAATGAAGTATAGTGCTCCAGTGTGGTATGGAAGAATGTGGAAGACCAAATCTTATCACAAATGGAGTAATTCCCTCACCTTGGTGAAAAGGTATCCTTGTTCCTGCCAGCATTTGTATTTTTAATGTTGTAGATTGTATATGGAGATTGTGTATTTATGAGATAGTCCACTGACTAATCCAAGCATAAACAAGAGTGAAAACCAGCTTGTTTTTCCTTTTATGCAACTGTAGTTCCACTTATTTGAGTTCTTTAAAATAGGTGCTTTAGTTCCTCTGTTCTTATATAAATGCATATAACATTATAAGAGATGCACAACCAAAATTTATACTACATTTTTGGGTTGGTATATGGTAGTTTTTTGAAACATTCTTGACAAAATAACTTTAAATCATCTGAAAAGTATTATATATGTTTTCCAGTTCTTTTTACGTACTATTTCCTAAATGATTATATGTAACTTTATAATAGATATAATTGGTTTGGATTGCTGTTTTTGCTGATTGGCTTATATGTAGTGTTTTCCCTTTGAGTCAGATGTGTTTTCATTGTTAACATTGGGTGGTTTAAACATTTGTGTATGTTGGGCCAGTTTCCATATTAAATTAGTTATTTGCATGCAATTCTTAGGAGATAGTTTATGTATGTATGTGTGTGGGAAAACTTGATAAAATACTCTTCTGAATTTGTTTTTAGGCTTCCTGGCAACACCAGAACAAAAATTGGCTTCATAACATTTGACAGTACAATCCATTTCTACAGTCTTCAAGAAGGTCTCTCTCAACCTCAGATGCTAATAGTTTCAGATATTGAAGGTATATGTTACACATTTATTGAATGACATTGGGAATTTTCAGTGTTAGAAATATTTTACGAATACTTGACAGATTAGGGGTCTATTGTATGAATCTACTATGTTGAGGAAATTCTTGAGTATAAAATCATAAGATTGTTAGAATTCTAAGAGGTGTTCAGACCAATCTCTCATTTTATGGAAGTAGATACAGGGTTATGGAGGTAATATGAATTCTGAACAAGATAACAAAAGCAAATTAATGTTAGAACTCAGATAAAATTTAGGCTTTCCCCCTTTCGTTCCATTAATTTATTCATAAAGTATTTAAAGGCTGGGCATGGTGGCTCACACCTGTAATCCCAGCACTTCGGGATGCTGAGGTGGTAGGATTGTTTAAGGCCAGGAGTTTGAGACCAGCTTGGGCAACATATTATAGCAAGATCCACACCTCTACAAAAAATTTAAAAATTAGCCAGCTGGATTGGTGTGTGCCTATAGTCCCAGCTACTTGGGAGACTGAGGTGGGAGGCTCACTTAAGCCTAGGAGGAGTTCAAGGCTGCAGTGAGCTCTGTTTTCACCACTGTATTCCAAGCATTTTGTCTATTGAAGAATACCACCAAGAAAATGAAAAGACAAACCACAAAATGGGTTTCCAAAATTTGGAAATCATATCTGATATAGAATTTACATCTAGATTTCATCAAGAACTCCTACAATTTAACAATAAAAAGACAATAGAGGCTGGGCGCTGGTGGCTCACGCCTGTAATCCTAGCACTCTGGGAGGCTGAGGCACTCTGGGAGGTTGACCTGATTGCTCAAGGTCAGGAGTTCGAAACCAGCCTGAGCAAGAGCGAGACCCCCGTCTCTACTCTAAATAGAAAGAAATTAATTGACAAACTAATATATAGAGAAAAAATTAGCTGGGCATGGTGGTGCATGCCTGTAGTCACAGCTACTCAGGAGGCTGAGGCAGTAGGATTGCTTGAGCCCAGGAGTTTGAGGTTGCTGTGAGCTAGGCTGACGCCATGGCACTCAGTCTAGCCTGGGCAACAAAGTGAGACTCTGTCTCAAAAAAAAACAAAAAAAGACAATAGGTAGGAATGGATAAAGGGGCTGGATGCAGTGACTCATGCCTGTAGTCCTAGCACTCTAGGAGGCTGAAGTGGGAGGATTGCTTGCACTCAAGAGTTTGAGACCAGCCTGAGCAAGATTGAGACCCTGTCTTTACTAAAAATACAAAAATTAGCCAGGTGGGGTGGTGTGTACCTGTAGTCCCAGCTACTGGGGAGGGTGAGGCAGGAGGATCACTTGAGCCCAGGAGTTTGAGTTTGCAGTGAGCTATGATGATGCCACTGCACTCTACCTGGGGCGACAGAGCAAGACTCTGTCTCAAAAAAAAAGAGTAGATAAAGGATTTGAATATTTGTGTATTTAATATATAACATATATATTTAAAAATATATATTTATATATTTTATATATAAACAAATTATATTTATACACATAATATATATTATATATATAATATATAATATTCAGTATACTCTATATATAAATGGTTGATAAATACATGAGTAGATGAATCAACAAGCAGATGCAAATAAAAAAATACGAGATGTCACCTGACACCAACTAGGATGGCTAAAATTAAAGAACTGGACAATAGCAAGTATTGGTGAGGCCATGGAGAAATTGGAACTCTCATACACTGGGAGGGAAATGTGAAATGGTGCAGCCTCTGTAGAAAATAGTCTGGCATTTCCTCAAAAAGTTAAACGTAGAGTTACCATATGACCCAGCAATTCCACTCAATAAATATATACTCAAGAAAATTGAAAGAATCATGTCCATACATAAATTTGTACATTAATGTTCATAGCTGCATGGCCCCAAAAGTGGAAACAACTCATATGTCAATCTTCTGACGAATGGATAAACAAAACATAGCATAGCCATACAGTGGATGTTATTTGGCAATAAAAAAGAATGAAGCACTGATGCATGCCAACATGGATGAATCTTGAAAACATTAGGCTTAGTGATAGAAGCCAATCACAAAGGACTACATATATAATGGTTCTCTTTATATGAAATATCCATAATATGCAAATACATAGGGACTGAAAGTAGATTAATAGTTTCCAGGAACTTGGGGGGAGGGAAAATGAGGAATGACTTAATGGTTACAGGGATTCTTTTTGAGATGATGATAAGGATCTTGAATTAGATAGTGGTGATGGCTGTACAACTCTGAATGTATTTAAAATCTCTGAATTGTACTCTTTGCAAGGGTGAATTTTATGATATATGAATTATATCTCAAATCTGTTACTGAAAAAATTTTAATTATAAAGGAAAAAATGGGAAGAAGCCTAAAGAATACATGGTAGAATCTTTGTGTGACCGTTAAAGTAAATATTTAATGTTTCAAATTATTTGTTGGTATTAATTTTACAAACTTTATAATCCATATTTTTTATAATCAAAAACAATATAGAAATGTAAAACATGATTCTTCTCATAATCCTCTGCCACCCACGTTGTCACCCAGTTTAATTCCTTCTAAAGGGAATTTAGTTTCTAAGCGAGAATAAATGAGAATCCCGAGAGGCTCACCTGAAGTGGTTGGTTAGTATTCTGTCTGATTCACTTCATTTTGTAGTCCCATTAGGAAAGGCACTGGTGGCTGCCTTCCTTCTTTATAAGAAAGCATTAGCTTTGTGAATGACAGAGCTATTGGTGAGTGGTATTGCCTTTGTATAAAGGCATAGTATTCCTGTGTGTCATGTTAGTCAACAATTTTTTTAATGCCAAGAGTATGTCTTTGGTTAGCTTCTATGGACAGGCATTAAAAGAGAAGAAGAAGAAGAAGGTAAAGCAAGATTCTAAATTGTTGTGTTTAGCCTAAGAAGCAGACCTTTACAAATCAATGTGCTTACAAATCAATGTTTTTTAGTTGGGAGGGTATACCTTTCACAAGGTATTAAACAGCAGAATATATTTACAGTAACTACTTGAATCAGTGTTCCTTTGATGACTCTTTGGACATATGTAGACATTCTATAATAGTGAAGGAGATGGTTTTTGTTTAAGTATGGGAGTTGTTAATTGCATCAGTGTTGTGTATTTGGAACATCTTTAATAATTATATTTTGTTTAAAAATAAATATGTATTTATTCTTTCAGATGTTTTTATACCTATGCCAGAGAACTTATTAGTAAATTTAAATGAAAGTAAAGAGGTAAGGCACATTTTGCTACTTGACATGTTTAATTGAAATATTGAAAGAATATATTTTTGAAATGAACTTTAAGTAAAATTTTGCTTCTTTCTGTGACATTTCTAAGATGTGTAGCATTTTGTATTTACTCTTAACTAGAATTCGTTAGATGAAGAGCTCTTGAGTTTGACCTTGAGCTGATCATTTTTAAGTCTAATGCAGCAAGTTATTTGTAGTAGATTAGAAGATAAGCCTGTTCCATAAAGGAAGAACACCTGAAGGAAACCTGTCTTGCCAGCCATTTGGGAAGTTGGGAGGGTTGCTGACATAAAGCTTCTGGTCACTACGTAGAAGCACATTAGCTAGGCTGCTTTCAGTGCCCTTTGCTTTTTTGATTCACAGAGTGTCATTGGGGTCAGTTCAGAAGAAACTCTTATTACCTGCCTGGAAATTGCCATGACATAATGCAGTGAGAGGTGAACAGAATGTGTCTGAAGGGGGGATGTTGTCTACCCTGTACATGCATATATGCCGTAGGGGTAACATTTTAACTAGCAAGTCTATGGTCTCTGCTGTTAGCAATGGTGACTGTGCCACAGTGCAAAGTATTTTTTTCCCCATTAACTATCTTTATTTGTACACCCTAACCTGAATAGGTAGTTGTTTTTTATTTTGTTTTTCTTTTGTAGTCATATTTCTACTAGTTGGCAAAGATACTGGATATCTTAGATTTTGCAACAGGAAACAGTTAAACTCACTTTGGAACTTATAAAAATAAAGTATGTAGAGGTGATGGAGAAGGCCATATTTCATGGCATTAAAATATATCAAATCTCTAAACTGTGATGGTTCTTTTGATACATTTTGGACTTATAGTCTTGCTGGACTATTGCATGTGCAAGAACTGTAAGGCCCCAACTTTGATATGTCTTGCTTGCCAATTTATAATGTTGACTTAAAATGGCTTTCTTGTCATTTGACCAACTTCATTGTGTCTGTAGATTCTCTGAACGTCATCATGACTCAGTGTCTTGTCTGTTGTATTAGAAACTGACTTAATGTGCAAAAAAATTTTTTAATTCTAACACTCTTGAGTTTTCTTGCTTTATTTCACAAGCTTGTCCAAGATTTACTGAAAACTTTGCCGCAAATGTTTACCAAGACTCTGGAAACCCAGAGTGCCTTGGGTCCTGCACTTCAGGCTGCCTTTAAGCTGATGTCCCCAACTGGTGGTCGAATGTCTGTCTTTCAAACACAACTCCCAACTCTTGGAGTGGGAGCCCTGAAGCCACGAGAGGAACCCAACCAAAGGTCATCTGCTAAGGTTAGAAAGTTGTAAAATATATAAGATTTATGCTGGTGCTCCTTCCCTTTGAGTACAGAGTTGTTTTTTTGAGCTTATTTTTCAATTATTGGGAAGAAGGAATATAATGAAATTACTGAAGGGTTTCACTTTTATGTAGACTTTTTGATTTTATTACATTTTCTCTACCTGAGTCACCCTCACTTTTTTTTTTTAGTATCTTTGGCTGGCCACTAACAGTTCATCCTGCTTTTGATGAGAAAGTCTGGGAGACTAAGAGAATATGCTTGCTAGGGACAAAGATGAACAATTGGGCTGGGCGCAGTGGCTCACGCCTGTAATCCTAGCACTCTGGGAGGCCGAGGAGGGCGGATTGCTCAAGGTCAGGAGTTTGAAATCAGCCTGAGCAAGAGCAAGACCCCGTCTCTACTATAAATAGAAAGAAATTAATTGGCCAACTGCTGTGAGCTAGGCTGACTCCACAGCACTCACTCTAGCCTGGACAACAAAGTGAGACTCTGTCTCAAAAAAAAAAAAAGATGAACAGTTAGGAATAGTCATTATTTGGTATGTCGATGGTCATGGATTTCTTTTGAGCGTGTTGTGTGTATAAACTTACAATTTGAGACCTATATTTTCCAAAAGATTAAGAGAGAGGCCAGTATACTATACTGGTTATGATGTCATTCCTGGGGTTCTACTGCCTGTGTTCCACTACTTATTACATATATGAACTTGAATAATTGCATAATTTCTTTGCCCCTTTGTTTCACTTATAAAGAAAGTGAAAATAATGATAGAGCCTACCTTTTATGGTAATTAAAAGGACTTAAGTAGATATTCATGTGGATTGTTTAGAACAGTTTCAGCATACTGAGCATTTAAAAGATTTCAGTTGCAATAATAATTATCTTTGCCAATTATTAATATAATAGATGTATTTCTTTCTTTTTAAAAGCAAAACATAAAAAACTTATAGAAAAATCAGAATGGCCATGTGGCTCACACCTCTGATCCCAGTACTTTTGGGAGGACAACGTGGAAGATTGCTTGAGGCCAGGAGTTTGAGACCAGCCTGGGCAACATGGCAAGACTCTATCTCTATTTATTTTTATTTTTATTTTTTCTTTTAGCCGATCCACCAGCTGAGAATATCTCTATTTAAAAAAAAACAACTTATAGAAAATTCATAAGCAGTACATGCTTCTTTTTGAGACAGAGTCTCACTTTGTTGCCCAGGCTAGAGTGACTGCTGTGTCATCACTGTAGCTCAATCGATCCTACTGCCTCAGCCTCCCGAGTAGCTGGAACTACAGGCATGTACCACCATGCCCGGCTAGTTTTTTGTATATATATTTTTAATTGGTCAATTAATTTCTTTCTATTTTTAGTAGAGATGGGGTCTTGCTGAGGCTGGTTTCGAACTCCTGAACTTGAGCAATCCTCCCTCCTCAGCCTCCCAGAGTGCTGGGATTACAGGTGTGGGCTACCACACCCAGCTAGTACATGCTTCTTAATGAAAAATCAGCTAATATCAAAGAACAAAAGGTTATTGTAGTATCCCCAGAGATAACTGTTGTGAATACCTTGGTATATGTAGATTTGCATTTAAATTTTACTTAAATTACTTTGTAATTTATTTTTAACAGGAAATACACCTGACACCATCCACTGACTTCTATAAGAAATTAGCCTTGGACTGTTCTGGTCAGCAGGTAGCTGTTGACTTATTCCTTCTCAGTGGACAGTATTCTGATTTGGCTTCTCTGGGTAAGTTTTTTCTAATGATTTTTTTGTTTTTTTATTAAATAAATGTCAAAATGGTAATTATATGATAGTATTCTAAATAGAGGACAAAGTAAAAGAATTGTCTTGGGAGAGTTTAGTCTATTGTAAACCTTATTGTCTTCTATTCTAAACATTAGTAATAGAAAAATTTCTATACTACTATTTAAAGGAATGAAATATTCTTTTTTTAGAGCCTAACTAAGCAATATTGAAATATTGTTTTTACAGTTAAAGAAATATTGATTCAAATTCCTGTAGTTACTTTGCTATAATAAAAGTAGCTAAGGGCACAATTTAAAAGGAACGCATGTTCTTTTCCAGGTTGTATTTCTCGTTATTCAGCCGGTAGTGTCTATTACTACCCCTCTTACCATCATCACCACAACCCTGTCCAAGTACAGAAATTGCAGAAGGAACTACACAGATACCTCACTCGGAAGATTGGCTTTGAGGCAGTCATGAGGATTCGTTGCACCAAAGGTGGGGACGATTTTTTTACATAGGAGAGAATGATGTTTTTGATACCGGTAAATATGTATGTTTTTGCCTATTCTTATTTATAGGATTTGCCCTAATAAGATCCTTTGTTAACTCTGTGGAATATGCAATTAAGAGAAGAAACGATATGAAAAATAGTGACATTGTGAATATACTACAAACCACTGAACTTTACATTTTATTTATTTTTATTTGAATTGTATGTTTTAAAATGGTGAATTTTGTGGTATGTGACTTACCTCAATTTTTTAAAGAAAGAGACTATATCTCTACAGAAAACAGAACATATAACTGATGAATTTTTATTCCTCTTACTGAGCAATAGTAATGCAAGATCTTTTATTAATAAACAATTATTTTTATTTTTTAAAATTGTAAAATACACATGACATAAAATTTACCATTTTATCCATTTTTAATTGTACAGCTCAGTGGCAATAAGTACGTTCTTACTGTGCAAGCATCACTGTAATCCATCACCAGAAGTGGGAGATCTTTTAATTTGTGCCCTGATTTTTGGTTTTTCATTTTACCACATTGTCAACCTGGTTCTAATTTTTTATTCATATATTAAAATATTATTGCTCTATAAGGGGTGTGAGGCAATCATTTTTTAGACTGGAAAGATTATATGAAATCTGTAGCAAAGAAAAGAATAGGATCCACTAATCTGTCTGCTACAGAAGATTGAAATGTATTGGTCAAATCAGGTGCCATATGAGGTTCTTTATATTTTATTTTATTATTATTATATTTTCTTTTATTTTATTTTTGAGACAAAGTCTTGCTCTGTTGCCCGGGCTAGAGTGCCATGGCGTTAGCCTAGCTCACTGCAACCTCAAATTCCTGGGCTCAAGCAATCCTCCTGCCTCAGCCTCCCAGGTAGCTGGGACTCCAAGCATGTGCCACCATGCCCGGCTAATTTTTTCTATATATTTTTAGTTAGCTAATTAATTTCTTTCTATTTTTAGTAGAGATGGGGTCTTGCTCTTGCTTAGGCTGGTTTCGAACTCCTGACCGTGAGGTCTCCAGCCGCGGCCTCCCAGAGTGCTAGGATTGTAGGCGTGAGCCATCACACCCAGCCTGAAGTTCTTTATTATCCATCACTATAAATACGCAGCCTTGATTAATTCATTTGTTATTCTAATAGTTGTTTTAATGTTTATGTTTTAGAGGGCACATTTATTGGATCCCATTCATTCAAGATTGAAAGACCTAAAAACTATTTATTTCTGCACTTACTGGGTATAAGTTAGGGGAAATGTACATCATACGTGGCTTTTAAGACTTTTTCTACTTAGCAAGAGGCTAATTTATATATACCTCACTTTGCATAAAGAGTTTGTCAATGAACTATCCTTTTCCCTTTTTATTTTTTATCATGAATTTCATTACACATCAAATGCATACTCTTGGTAAATTTAATGAAAAAAGAAAAAATAGGCTGGATGCGGAAGCTCACTCCTATAGTCAGGGCATTGTGGAATGCCAAGGTGGAAGGATTGCTTGAGGTCAGGAGTTTGAAACCAGCCTGAGCAATATCGAGATTCCCATCTCTATTAAAAATAGAAAAAATTAGCTAAGCATGGTGGTGCGCCTGTAGTACCAGCTACTTGAGAGGTTGAGGCAGGAGGATTGCTTAAGTCCAGCAGTTTGGGGTTGCAGTGAGCAATGATGACAGTGCAGGTAACACAGTAAGACCCTGTCTTAAAAAAAAATGTAGTGGAGATTGCACCTGCCTTGTTTTTTCCTGTACCACTATGTCATGTGCACCTTTCTATTTTTGAATATACATATGTATATTCTTTCCTTGCTTTCTTCCATCCTTCTTCCTGTCCTGTCCTTCCATCTGTTCATCTTCCTTTCTTTTCTTCTCTTCCTTCCTTTCTTTCTTTCCTCCTTTCCTCCCTTCCTTGTTTCCTTTCTTTCATTTGTAGAGACAGGGTCTCACTACATTGCCCAGACTGGTCTCCAACCCCTGGGCTCAAGGGGTTCTCCTGACTTAGCCTCCCAAGTAGCTGGAACTCCAGGCCTGTGCCACCATGCCTAGTGTTCTTTTTCTTTTTTTTTTTAATTGTTTTTGTTGGGTGTTTTTGTTTGTTTGTTTGTTTTTGAGACAGGGTCTGATTCAAACTGCTGGGCTCAAGTGATTCTTTGGTCTCAGCCTCCCAAGTAGCTGGGACTACAGGTGCATGCCACCATGCCCAGCTACTTTTTCTATTTTTTATAGAGACAGGGTCTCACTATGTTGCTCATGTTGATCTTGAACTCCTGGCTCAAGTGATTCTCCCACCTCGACCTCCTAAAATGCTAGGATTACGAGCTTGAGCCACTGTCTGACCTCTTTTTTTTTGATTATTGTTTTAAAGTTGGTTTTTATTTCACAAGTAAAATAAATATCTGTTCTTATAAAAAATTAAAAAATTATTGATAAAGCTAAAGTCCTCCTGTATAAGCTTGCATGCATGTGGCAAAAACCAATTTATTTTCCTACTGATACCCATTGATGGCATTTCTGAATTTTTTGCTGTAACAAACATCTGCTAAAAAATTTTTTGCTTGTGCAAATTTGACACTTGAAAGAGTATATCTCGGCCGGGCGCTGTGGCTCACGCCTGTAATCCTAGCTCTTGGGAGGCCGAGGCGGGCGGATTGCTCAAGGTCAGGAGTTCAAAACCAGCCTGAGCAAGAGCGAGACCCCGTCTCTAAAAAAATAAATAAATAAATAAATAAAAAAAAAAAAGAAAGAGTATATCTATAGGATAATTTTTTTTTTTTTTGAGACAGAGTCTCGCTTTGTTGCCCAGGCTAGATTGAGTGCCATGGCATCAGCCTAGCTCACAGCAACCTCAAAGTCCTGGGCTCAAGCAATCCACCATGCCCAGCTAATTTTTTTCTCTATATATTAGTTGGTCAATTAATTTCTTTCTGTTTATAGTAGAGATGGGGTCTCCCTCTTGCTAAGGCTGGTTTTGAACTCCTGACCTCAAGCAATCCGCCCGCCTAGGCCTCCCAGAATGCTAGGATTACAGGCGTGAACCACCGCACCCAGACTGTAGGATAAATTCTTAGATATGGGATAGCTAAGGTCAAAATAAGTATCCATTTAGATGTTTGACAGGTATTGGCAAATATTCGTCCAAAATATTTTTATGAATATTTGTATTACCACCTTTATTTTATTTCATTTATTTATTTATTTTTGAGACAGAGTATCACTGTGTTGCCCAGGCTAGAGTGCCGTGGTGTCAGCCTAGCTCATGGCAACCTCAAACTCCTGGCTCAAGGGATCCTTCTGCCTCAGCCTCCCAGGTAACTGGGACTACAGGCATGTGCCACCATGCCTGGCTAAGTTTTTCTATATATATTTTAATTGGCCAATTAATTTCTTTCAACTTTTAGTAGAGATAGGGCCTCACTCTTGCTCAGGCTGGTTTCAAACTCTGACCTCGAGCAATCCACCCGCCTCAGCCTCCCAGAGTGCTAGGATTACAGCCATGAGCCACCGCACCCGGCATACCACCTTTATTTTAAAAGACACCCATTACCCCTCAACCTCAATAAGTACTGTGTATTGTCTAAACTTTTTAACTTTCTGCCAATCTGATAAGTGACTAGGATAAATGTAAATATCAATATGTAGGTATATATAAGTTATTTTGATAATTTTTTCTCTTCTAGGTCTTTCCATTCATACTTTCCATGGGAATTTCTTTGTTCGGTCAACAGACTTACTGTCTTTGCCCAATGTTAACCCAGATGCTGGGTATGCAGTGCAGATGTCAGTAGAGGAGAGTCTTACTGACACTCAGTTGGTTTCTTTTCAGTCAGCACTCTTATATACATCCAGCAAAGGTAAGTTTTTGTTTGTTTGTTCTTATTATGGTAGCAGTCACATTAACATGAGATCTACCCTCTTAACAAATTTTTAAGTGTACAGTATAGTATTAACTATAAGCATAAGTTGTTGTAAAGGTGTATTTTTTTTTATTTTTTATTTTCTTTTTTCGCTGCTCTGAATACTTCAAGAGGTGTATTTTTGATGTGGTTGTGTACTCTGTGGCTTATGATAAACTCTTCCTTCTTTGGAGGTGATTACTTATTGTTACTAAGCCAAAAAGAGTATTCCTAATCATAAGAGATTTGCTTCTATTCTTGGTAAAGCCAAGATGTTTGGCATTGATTTTCCTAAACCATTTTATTTATTCATTTGTTGAACAGATATTTATTGAGAGTCTACTATGTATCAGACACTCTGATACAGGAGTTAATAAATCTGAATTTAGCAAATCCCTTTCCTCATAGAGCTTTTTTTGTGTGTGTGACAGAGTCTCACTTTGTTGCCCAGGCTAGAGTGAGTGCCGTGTGTCAGCCTAGCTCACAGCAACCTCAAACTCCTGGGCTCAAGCAATCCTGCTGCCTCAGCCTCCCAAGTAGCTGGGACTACAGTCATGCGCCCCCATGCCCGACTAATTTTTTCTCTATATATTTGTTGACCAATTAATTTCTTTCTATTTATATTAGAGACGGGGTCTCGCTCTTGCTCCGGCTAGTTTTGAACTCCTGACCTCAAGCAGTGCGCCTGCCTCAGCCTCCCAGAGAGCTAGGGTTGCAGGCGTGAGCCACTGCGCCCAGCCCCTTTCCTCATAGAGCTTAAGGAGCTTAGGAGGGACAATCCATAAACAGGATAAATAAATAAAATAATAGTATGTTATATAATGATAATAATTAAGGAGAAAAATAAGTCAAGGGAAGGGGATAAAAGAGCTGGTTGGGGTGGTTCTTTTATTTTTTTTTATTTTTATTTTTTCAATCAGGGTCCTCACTGTGGCTAGAGTGTATTGATGTGATCACAGCTCACTGCAACTTCCAGCTCCTGGACTCAAGTGATTCTCTTGCCTCAGCCTCCCACCTCCCAGCCATCCCCACCATGCCCAGCTAATTTTTAAATTTTTTCTGTAGACAGGGGTGTCACTAGGTTACCCAAGGTCATCTTGACCTTCTGGCCTCAAGAAGTCTATTGCCTTGGCCTCCAAAGTACTGGGATGATAGGCATGAACCACCACACCTGGCCCCATAATTTATTAACTTCTTTATATTTAAAAAAATTAGCTTGTTTCTAATGTTTTGCTTCTTTGAAAAATGTGTTTGAAATTTCTTTCCTTGTATACAAATCTTCATGTCATTTCAGATGATTTCTCTAATATAACTTTCTAGAAATGGATATAGGATATAGAGTTAAACTGTTTAGAAAAATCTTGTTGGCCAGGTGCAGTGGCTCATGTCTGTAATCCCAGCACTTTGGGAGGCTAAGTCAGGAGAATGCTTGAGGCTAGAAGGTCAAGATGAGCCTGAGCAACATAGCAAGACCCATTCTCCACAAAAAATGTAAAAATTAGACAGGCATGGTGGTGTGTGCCTGTAGTCACAGCTACTTGGGAGACTGAGACGGAAGGATCATTTGAGCCCAGTAGTTTGAGGTTGCAGTGAGCTAGGGTGACGCCACTGCACTGTAGCCAGGGCAACAGAGTAAGACTGTAAAAAAAAAAAAAAAAGAGTTTATATGAGCTCCTCATATATATATGTCATTTAATCTTTTTTTTTTCATTAGTCTTTATGTGTCATGTTAGGTTGTAGTGTATCATCTCTCGTTTTTTGGGGTTTTTTACTTGTTTTCCTTTCATGTATTAGGATCTTGCTGAATATAATTTTTTAAAGTTTAGCTTATATTTGATGATTCTCTAATTTTTTATTTTGCTTCTTGTATTTATTGATTATTATTCTGGGTAATTACTGAAGAAAAAGTATTGTGACTATTAATGTATTTAAAATTTTTTTTTCTATGATTGAAGAAAAGGTGTAAGAATTTTTTGGACTTTATATGTGTCAAAACAGGCCACAGAATTTATTTTTGAGTAGTGATGTCTTATGTATTTAACTAAAAATTTTTATTACCAAAAAGTTTATCAAAGATGTTTTCAAAAATTTAGCATTTTATCATTTGAATATAAGCCCTGTAATTTATTATTAAAAAATGAAAAGAATTTGAAAAAGCAAATGAAAAGAATGAAAAGAATTTCAGAGTTAAAAAATAAAATGTTTGGCCAGGCGCGGTGGCTCACGCCTGTAATCCTAGCACTTTGGGAGGCCGAGGCGGGCAGATTGCTCAAGGTCAGGAGTTCGAAACCAGCGACGGCGAGACCCGTCTCTACCAAAATAGAAAGAAATTAATTGACCACTAAAATATATATACAAAATTGGCCGGCATGGTGGTGCATGCCTGTAGTCCCAGCTACTCGGGAGGCTGAGGCAGGAGGATCGCTTGAGCACAGGAGATTGAGGTTGCTGTGAGCGAGGCTGACACCATGGCACTCACTCTAGCCTGGGCAACAAAGTGAGACTCTGTCTCAAAAAAAAAAAGAAAAAGAAAAAATAAAATGTTTGATACTGTGTCTGCTTTCTATATAATTCTACTTCATTCTAAATTGAAAAGAAATGATTTTTCCAAGTGACTTTAATCTTTTATATATATATATATTAATAGTTGCCCCTTTCTATACTTCATGTATTTCATGCCATTTCCCCAAAGGTGAAAGAAGAATTCGTGTCCATACTTTGTGTTTGCCAGTAGTTTCAACTCTGAATGAAGTCTTTCTTGGAGCTGATGTTCAAGCAATTTCAGGCTTATTGGCCAATATGGGTAAGAGTTGTTATCACCTCTTGTAAATATTTCTCAAGTGTTATTATTATTATTTGCAATATTAGCTTCACAGTTCAATATTTTGGATCCCTGGGTGCCCACTAAGTAATTATCTGATTGAAAAGATCTGCTGCAGATACTTTTTTTTTTTTTTTGAGACAGAGTCTTACTCTGTTGCTGGGGCTACAGTGCTGTGGCATCAGCCTAGCTCACTGCAACCTCAAACTACTGGGTTCAAGTGATCCTCCTACCTCAGCCTCCTGAGTAGCTGGGACTACAGGCATGCACCACCATGCCCGGCTAATTTTTTGTATATATATTTTTAGTTGGTCAATTAATTTCTTGATATTTTTGGTAGAGACGGGGTCTTGCTCAGGCTGGTTTTGAACTCCTGACCTCGAGCATTCCGCCCACCTTAGCCTCACAGAGGGCTAGGATTACAGGCGTGAGCCACTACACCTGGACAATTTTTTCTATTTTTGGTAGAGATGGGTCTTCTTGCTCAGGCTGGTCTTGAACTCCTGAGCTGAAGTGATCCTCCCACTTTGGTGTCCCAGAGTGCTGATATTACAGGTGTGAGCCACAGCACCCAGCCCAACATTCTTCATTCTTTTGTCCCTGTGTGCTAATTTTAGTTATAATAGTCTTTATTGAATGTATTTCTGATACCTCATGGATTGAGTTTAGTTTAGTTTGAGAAGTCTTCAAAACAATGATGGTGTTTTTTAGCATTGAAAAAAAGTTTTCTGAAGTATTGTTATGAACATAGAAAAAGATTTTTAGGCCGGGCGCTGTGGCTCACGCCTGTAATCCTAGCTCTTGGGAGGCCGAGGCGGGCGGATTGCTCAAGGTCAGGAGTTCAAAACCAGCCTGAGTAAGAGCGAGACCCCGTCTCTACTATAAACAGAAAGAAATTAATTGGCCAACTGATATATATATAAAAAAAAAAAATTAGCCGGGCATAGCGGCGCATGCCTGTAGTCCCAGCTACTCGGGAGGCTGAGGCAGAAGGATCACTCGAGCCCAGGAGTTTGAGGTTGCTGTGAGCTAGGCTGACACCACGGCACTCACTCTAGCCTGGACAACAAAGTGAGACTCTGTCTCAAAAAAAAAAAATTTAAAAAAAAAAAAAGAAAAAGATTTTTATGCAAAAATGCATATAAACTGTGTGGCATGACAGGTGATGAAAATCTATCTAAATAACTCTCTATACAGCAGACCTTTACTGACAGAGCAAAAAAAAAATGATAATAATAACTCTCTAAGAGCTTTTTCCATAACTATAAAATAAAACTGTGTGTGACAGGAAAGCATTGATATGTTTAATTGCAGTGGTTTTTCTTTCTCATTTGTATATAAATAAAGTAGTGGATCACAATCAGTAACATCTTAGATCAATGGAATATAATTTTCCCATTTTACAGATGAGGAAACTGAGGCTCAGGAATCCCAGAGGTTGGCATCATTCTCTAGAGTGTGCTTTTAATTGCTGTATGTGTTTTACCTTATTGTGTGTGTAATAAATTGGAGAAAGACAGAGTATGTTTTTTAAAGATTATCTCTTCTATCCTTAACAATGGAGTAACTCAGCTTGTGTCTTATTTCTCTCTTGTCCCTACCCTCACCTCAATTAGCTGTTGACAGGTCTATGACGGCCAGTCTGAGTGACGCTCGAGATGCACTAGTGAATGCGGTCATCGACTCTCTCTCAGCCTACCGTTCTTCAGTCCTAAGTAACCAGCAGCCTGGACTCATGGTTCCTTTTTCTTTGCGGCTTTTCCCACTGTTTGTGTTGGCGCTCCTTAAACAGGTAAGAAAAACAAAAATAGAAATTAACCAATGAAAACATAAAAGCCAACGTTTTTATCCTATAAACCCCTAAATATTGTATAAATTATTTTATACTGGTTAAATTTTCTGAGGACAGGGACCCTACCTCTTATTTGGACTTTGAAGGAATTTATAACGAAAGAAAGTTACAAATAACTCATTTAAAGCAAGTGCCTTGTTCATAAGAGGTGCTCACTGAGTCACATATTCAGTGATGTTATCAAACATTCAAATGATAATCAGTTTTCTACTTTTCCAAATAAGAATTGTATATTTTGGGAAGCTGCATCTGGCGCCAGAAAAAGTGAGAATGGGATTTCCCTAGTCCTTTGATGGGTCCTGGTTGCCTCTACTGTGGTCACCTTTGGGTTAGTAAAAGCAGCGGCAAGTTAGTTGCCCCGACTGTCCCTTCTGGAAGTGGTGACCAGTTCCTTGGGATCTTGGTCTCTATGTTGCCTTGCCCATCCCTGCTAGGTCATGCAGTACAGCCTTTTGCTGGGTCAACGGGCGCAGGCGCTGGAGCTGCAGACCAGTTTGCTTGCTGGGAATTCCTGGACAGGGAGGGAGCTCAGGCGATCCTGTGGCTGGTGGAGTTTCCAGTCCAAGCTTTGCAGTGGGGAAAAGGAATAGCTACTTTAGGTGTGGTTTCACTTTGAAAGAAAGAATCTCACAGTAGTGGCAAGAAAGTAAAATATCTCAAGGCATTTGACTGCAGAGACTGTACAGGGGTTGCGCTTAATTGGTTAAATGGTCGTCTGGAGTGCCCAGGGACTGGAATTTGTTAAGTGATAACCAGTGACTTCAGTGACAGAGCCATATTTGACGTCCTGCCTGGCCTTATCCATGTGACCATGGGCAAGTCATGGGCCCTGGTTCACATATCAGTAAAAGTGGATGTTGGTTTGGTTAAAATCTGAGTCCCTTTAAACCTAACATTCTTTTAAATGACTTCTCAGTAGTCTATGGTGTCTTTGGAATGCAGGAGCAGCACTTTATCCTGCCTTCAAATCCTCAATTTCTATAGGATCTGTCATGACAAATGAAAGTAAATCAAGCAGTAGAGCTCGATCTCAGACTTTCTGTGCTGCTCTGGAATGACTAATGTTACTATTTCTAGATGACTTTTCTGCAGAGAAACCTAAACAGCAAAGTGTATATTTTCCACTTCCTTTCTCCACGGAAAACCGTATGCATAAGCATTACATTGGTGGTAGTGAAGTACGCTGTATTTTTAAAGGACAATTTTGCAATTACCTGAGGTGCCCTGTAGAATGATGAGGGAGTGACCAGGACCTTAGAACATGTGGCAGTGAAATATTGTTCAAAGTAAACCTGACTGGAAAAAATGTGTAATGTGAGTTTATGGAAAATAAACTTAAGAGAAAGGCAATTTGGGAAAGAGACTAATACACCAGTCTGTGTATCTTCCTGCCTAGGCCTCCCAGAGTGCTAGGATTACAGGCGTGAGCCATCACACCCGGCCAGCAGTCTTTTCTAATCTTCCGTTATTTATGTCATTGCCTTGTTTTAATGCATAATTTCATTGCTTTTCTGCCTCCTTCACTCCTATCCATCAGTTGGAATACTTAAAACTTTACCCTAGGCTAGGTGCGGTCGCTCATGCCTATAATCCTAGCACTCTGGGAGGCCAGGGCAGGAGGATCATTTGAGCCCAGGAGTTCGAGACCAGCCTGAGCAAGAGTGAGACCCCGTCTCTACTAAATAGAAAGAAATTAGGCCGGATGGGGTGGCTCACACCTGTAATCCTAGCGCTCTGGGAGGCCGAGGTGGGCGGATTGCTTGAGATCAGGAGTTCAAAACCAGCCTGAGCAAGAGCAAGACCCCGTCTCTACTATAAATAGAAAGAAATTAATTGGCCAACTAATATATATAGAAAAAATGAGCCAGACATGGTGGTGCATGCCTGTAGTCCCAGCTACTTGGGAGGCTGAGGCAGCAGGATTGCTTGAGCGCAGGAGTTTGAGGTTACTGTGAGCTAGGCTGACAGCACGGTACTCACTCTAGCTTGGACAACAAAGCAAGACTCTGTCTCAAAAAAAAATAATTATGAAATAAAAATAAAAATAGAAAGAAATTAATTGGCCAACTAAAAATATACAGAAAAAATTAGCTAGGTATGGTGGTGCATGCCTCAGGAGGCTGAGGCAGGAGGTTTGCTTGAGCCCAGGAGTTTGAGATTGCTGTGAGCTGGGCTGACGCCATGGCAACAGAGTGAGACTGTGTCCCAAAAAAAAAGACAAAAACCTTACCTTATAAATTCATTATTCTCCATAAAGGTAATACTGGTTAAATCTTAAAATTACTTATTAACTTTATTCTACTAAGCACCTGTCCTCATGTGTACTATTATTTTTCCTTATTGATTTGTAAGCTTTGTTACATTGTTTAATTTCTCTAACTGTGGGAAAAACAATGACAGCCACTATTAATCATCACCCAGCATTTATGGAACACTTAATGTATATCTTTTTTGTCCTTGATATATGCCTTTATTTTGTCATTTGCAGTATAACTTTATCCTTCCTGTGATATTGCATAGATTGTTACACGTTTAGATCTATTTCACTGATTAGGAAACAAACACCACGGAGATCAAATAACTTTACCATGATCAGTTAGTTCATTTCTCATGAGTTTTAGGTGGCGCTATACCCACAATTTAATAGATGTATGTGACTTCTTAAAAGATATTTTTTAAAGAATGATTAACAGTGTATTTGTCTGAAGAGATTCTTTTAACAACTGACATTTACAAAGTTTTGTGTGTATTTTTTAAATATCTTTTTTGGGATGGATGGGGGTTGTTTTTTCTTACAGAAATCATTCCAGACTGGGACAAATGCACGTCTAGATGAACGCATTTTTGCTATGTGTCAAGTGAAAAATCAGCCCTTGGTTTACCTTATGCTCACAACTCATCCCAGTTTGTATAGAGTTGACAATCTGTCAGATGAGGTAAGATTGATGCCTTTTTTAGTGGCTTTTACTTGAAGGTTTATAAGCCTAATCAGAGTCACTCCAGTGCAGAAATGAAAACATTTGTTACTTAAAGCTTTTTATTTTATTTCTTCTTTAGGTCTATGTAAAGAAATTTTGGTATAGGGATACTCCCCAAAATAGTGTCTTTATTGAAGTTTCCAAAGACACAATCTCTAGAGCAGATCTAAGAAATGAGATTGTCAAATTGACCAGAGCAACCTATTCATATATTTATTTAAACAAATTGATCTGAAAGGAGCATCCTGAGCGTGAAATTACATCTGAACATCTAAGTTCATTGTTCGATGTAACAGTGCCCTTGAATTAAAGAAAAACTATTTACCTGATTTGTAACATTATTTGCCTTTGATAGGAAGTTTACCAGAGTTAAAGTCAGAAACATGAAAATGTTAAATCATAATCTTTCATTCTAAAATTGTGATCAAGTTAAGATGTATGTGTTGGAAATAATGTTCTGGTTAAAACACGTTTCACAATTTACAGAATTTAAGATATCTTGCATGTATAAGGGAGAAATTACCTATGAAATGAGGTAACTTTTTATCTAATGAAAAGCTTGTTATAACATTATCAATCGATATTACAAAAATAATAACTCTAGATTAATCCTGTTTGGCAAGTTCAAATAACTGGGTTTACCTTTTTCTTACATTAAGAGAATAAGAAATTCACATAAAAATATAAATGTAATTTATTGTATATCTATAATATGGAAACCACTAGAAAGAAGAAGAAAAAAAATTACTTCACCCATAATGCCTCATCCAGAGATAGGCATTGTTAACATGTTGGAGGTTTATTTATCAGGACTCTTTGGCTGTGAGGAAGCTTAGACAAAAAAGGGGACTGAAATGGCACTCAAAAATAAACCATTGGAAAGGCAAGGATAGAGCTAGACTCAGAATCTACTAGACCCTAGGATACAAAGACTCATTTTGCATGAGTTTCATTCTTTTTGATCAGTCTTCTGTACAAGACTAGTAAACAGAGCCACTGAGAGTGGCTCTTCACTATCTGAGAAAGACAAAGCTCTGTTTTTACAGTTGACATTAGAAAACTTTAAGTCGAAATTTCTGATAGGCTGTATTTGGTTATAGTCTCTCTTAAGATCCCCACATTTCCCAAGGCCAGAGAGCTTAAAGTACTGTGATTAATAGCAAATAACAAAACAACAGCCTCATCACTGAAGTGAAAAGAACTCCTTTCTCAAACATTGGGGAGTGAAGGAAGGAGGGATGTTGAAAGCACAGAGCAATCAATGTCCTTTGCAGGTATACTTTTCTCCTGCTTTGATTTTCCATTTATATTTTGTTTGCTTTACTTAGTTGTGGTTATGTTGTTTGAATCCTGATGTTTTTGTCGTTTGGAACAGTAATATATATGAATTACATAGTAATATATATAAAGCTCTTGGAACAATGACTGGGTATAACAGCACCATATAAACCATAGATAGCTGTTACCATTACCACCATCATCATTAGTATGATTATCATAATTAAGTGTATTTCCATGTATAGGAGCATTCATTTAAAACATACATTTTAATGACTTTATAAGTTCATTAAACCATTCTCTTATTGGACATATACATTGTTTCCAGGTTTAACCATTTATATTCACATAACATGAACATCCCCAAACTATATCGCTTGGTTAGTATTTTACTTCTTCTCTTGGGTAAGATTTAATTAAGCACCTAGTTTAAGTGATTGAATATATTTTTAGTCAAAATGAATAGTTATGAATATTGAAATATTTGTGTGTGGTGTGTTTTCAGATAACAGTATTATAATCAATTATAAACAACAAACTTCCATTTCTGACTTTAATAAATAAATGTCATTTTGAAGAGAAGTATTAAAATCTCATTTGCCTTAGGCTCCCCCCCCCCCCCAGGATGTGTGCATGACCTAAGCCAAGCAAGCAGTTAGTTCCAATGAGAGCCAATTTGGAGATTTCTGCTTGTAATTTTGAAAGAGATGTTCTTGTTTCATATCTTTCTCCTTCTCTCTCTCCCAAATAAACTTTTTATTTTGGAAAAATTTAGTTGTAAAGGTAAGTTGCAAAGATAGTGTAGAAAGTTCTCATATATTCCTCATGTAATTTTCCCTAATGTTAATCTTTTACAAAACTACAGTACATTTATTAAAAAACAAGAAACCAACACTAGTACATTATTGTTATTATTAATTTTTTTATTAATTTTTTTATTGAGGTAAAATGTATATAACTTACTGTCTTTACCATTTTTAAATGTACAAATTAATGGTACTAAATACATCTATATTCTTTTTTTCCCTTCTCCTTTCTCTTAGTATATTATTATTAACTAAATTTTAGACTTTATTTGGATTTCACTGATGTCATTTATTTGTTCAAAATATAGCATTGTATTCTTTTTTAAAACAATAGTTAAGATCAGAAGTTAATTTGGCTTTATTGGGATTCACAGTAGCTTTGTTTAGATAAGTGGTAAATATTTTCTCATCTTCTATATATTTAAATATGAATAATTATGATTTACTTAAGTAAGGCCCAAACTTTTGGAGGCAACATTCATTTAATTTTTTGTTGTTAATTATGACTTCATATTACCTGTATCTAAAAGCTTTAATCTTTTATTTCTTCAGGGTGCACTCAACATCAGTGACAGAACCATACCCCAGCCCCCTATCCTTCAGCTTTCAGTAGAGAAGCTGAGCAGAGATGGAGCTTTCCTCATGGATGCAGGCTCTGTGAGTGCTTTGACTTGTCCTGACCCTTCTCACTGCTACTACTGTACCATGTTAGCATTTAGTTTTTCCCTGTAATCTCTCTCTTCCTGAACAGATTACATATTGACCTGTGAATAATCATGCATCACATAATGACATTTTGGTCAACAGTGGACCACTTATACAGTGGTGGTCCCATAAGGTTATAAGGGAGCTGAAAAATTCCTATCACCTAGTCGTTACCATGCTATACATTTTATCATTATTTTAGAGTATACTCCTATTTATTTAAAAAAAAGAAAAAGGTTGGCCAGGCGCAGTGTCTCACACTTGTAATCCTAGTACTCTGGGAGGCCAAGGCGGGAGGATCACTTGAAGTCAGGACTTCCAAGACCAGCCTAGATAAGAGTGAGACCCTCATCTCTGCTAAAAATAGAAAAACTTAGCCAGGAGTGGTAGCCTGCACTTGTAGTCCCAGCTACCTGGGAGGCTGAAGCAGGAGGGTCGCTTGAGCCCAGGAATTTGAGGTTGGTGTGAGCTGTGATGATGCCACTACACTCTAGCCTGGTCAACAGAGAGAGAGAGAGACCCTGTCTCAAAAAAAAAGGGTGGGGCTAACTGTAAAATAGCCTCAGGCAGCTCCTTGAAGAAGGAAGAAGGCATTGTTATAGGAGATGACAGCTCCCCGTATTTTATTGTCCCTGAAGACCTTGTGTTGGGAGGAGAGGTGGAGATGGAAGACAATGATACTGATGATCCTGACCCTGTGGGGGTCTATGGTTATGTATGTGTTTGTGCCTTAGTTTTTAACAAAATGGTTTAAAAGTAAAAAAATAATAAAAATTTTAAAAATAGAAAAAAGTTTTTAGAATAAGGCTATAAAGAAAGAAAGTAGGCCAGGCATGGTGGCTCATGCCTGTAATCCTAGCACTCTGGGAGGCTGAGGTGGGAGGATCGCTCAAGGTCAGGAGTTTGAGACCAGCCTGAGCAAGAGCGAGACCCCATGTCTACTAAAAATAGAAAGAAATTAATTGGCCAACTAAACCTATATAGCAAAAATTAGCCAGGCATGGTGGCACATGCCTATAGTCCCAGCTACTTGGGAGAGTGAGGCAGGAGGATCACTTGAGCCCAGGAGTTTGAGGTTGCTGTGAGCTAGGTTGATGCCACCACAGTGGCAACAAGAGTGAGACTCTGTCTCAAAAAAAAAAAAAAAAAGAAAAAAAGAAAAATATTTTTATACAGCTGTATATTTGGATTTTAAACTAAGAGTTAAAAAGTTAAAATTAAAGTTTATAAAGTAAAAAATTTACAATAAGCTAAGGATAGTTAATTATTTTCAGTTGTCTTCAATACTAAGGGTTAATTTATGTCGAATTTTTACTGTACCTTTTCTATGTGTAGATATTTAGATACACAGATATTTACCATTATGTTACAGCTGCCTGCAGTATTTAGTTACAGTATCATGCTCTATAGGTTTCTAGCCTGGGGGCAATAGGCTGTGCCTAGGTGTGTAGTGGGCTATACCATCTAGGTTTGTGTGAGTACACTCTGTGATCTTGGCAATACCATCTAGGTTTGTGTGAGTACACTGTGATCTTGGCACATTTGTCTCTCCACAGCCTCCCTGTTTCATGCTAAGCATATAGTATTTCACCATGGTAAATACTAATCATTCAGTTAAAAGGCTGTACAATTTCACTAGCTCTGCTCATCCTCTTGATTTTTTTAAAAGATACTCAGTGGTAAAGGTGAGTCAACTGAATCACCATTATGCTACATCTGAATATAATTTTATTCCTCTCCCCAGGTACTGATGCTTTGGGTTGGAAAAAATTGTGCACAGAATTTTCTCAGTCAAGTTCTAGGAGTTCAAAACTATGCATCAATTCCACAGCCTATGGTAAGACTGTTTTATTATGGTAGACTTAAAAGGCATTTCAAAGGTAGCAAATACATGAATATCCCATTTTGAAATCAGAAAATAATACTAAAAATTTTTCCAAAAGAGGAAATGTTCCCACAAATTATGTTTCTCTTCCAACTGAAAATACTCATTTTATGTTTTAATGGCATTCTTTAGGTTGCTTTGCATATTTATCTGTTCTTATGTGTCTAAGACAGTATACTATTTGGGGCAGAAAGCAATTAATTTAGTTAATGACCAAAAAAAGTAGTTTGCTGCAAATGGCATTTGAGCTTTGGCTTTTCTGTTTCTTCTTCTTTCCCTTGGATTCATGATCAGTGTGATGTGGCTTTTTTTGTTTTTGTGTTTTTGGCATTTCTTGTTCTTTGGCATGGTCTTTTAAACTGCTGATTTTGAAGTAAGAACTAAACTAATTGCCACCCTGGTGTACCTAGCAAATGACATGTGGCCAGTGTCAGTTGAGTTAATGTTGATTATTGAAGAAAGTAATAATGGACTGTGCCACTAGTTATGTGTTCTTGGACAAGTCCTTAAATAGCCTCATTTGTAAAGTAAGAATCTCTTGCTTATGGAGGAGTAATTGAAATAGTCTCTGAGAAAGTGCTAACTATACAGCATTTGGACAGTTATGAATTACAAAGTTAGAATTAATTATAATAGATGGTCTTATTTAGATGGTCTTATCATATTTTAATTATAATATTTTAATTATAATAGATGGTCTTATCATATTTTTTAGTCTAATTATAATAGATGGTCTTATCATATTTTAATTATAATAGATGGTCTTATCATATTTTTTAGTCCCTACAACCAGTTTGTATCCAGTTTTAGAATGTGTTTAATTTCATCACTTTTTCATATTGATATGTTTCACATGAATGTCCTTTTTTTTATATTATGTGTTCTGTGACTCCATTCATAGAAGTCATTAAAGGATTCATATATTTAAAAGACATGTATCTATGTCAGGAGTATAACTAGGATGAGCACTAACTTTCAGGTCTTGAGCAAAACTACTTGATTGGATTACTAAGTTTTTTAAGTAATGAGTAAATAAGAAATCGTCCTATTTGTAATAATTACCTGAATGAATCAGTTGATTCTAGGCCCCCTCTCCAAACCTTCTAAATCTATAATCTGCAGTTCAACAAGGTCATCAGGTGATTCATACATATGTTAAAACTGGATAAATACTGTAGAACATACATTAGAGATATAATTAGAATAAGTTGGATGTTGTTGGTTTTATTTAACAGACAGACCTTCCAGAACTTGATACACCAGAATCAGCCAGAACAATAGCTTTCATCTCTTGGCTTAGAGAGCAGAGACCATTTTTCCCAATACTTTATGTCATAAGGTAAGTCAGATTTTTCATTTGCTAGTAGTAAAACAATTTGGCCTTGTGAGAATTTGTTTATTTTTATTTTTGAGACAGAGTCTCGCTCTGTCACCTGGGCTAGAGTGCTGTGGCATCAGCCTAGCTCACAGCAACCTCAAACTCCTGGGCTCAAGCGATCTTCCTGCCTCAGCCTCCCAAGTAGCTGGAACTATAGGCCCTTGCCACCATGCCCTACTAATTTTTTGTTTCTGTTTTTAGTTGTCTGGCTGTTTTTTTCTATTTTTAATAGAGACACAGTCTCACTCTTGCTCAGACTGGTCTTGAACTCTGACATCAAGCGATCTTCCCACCTCAGCCTCCCAGAGTACTAGGATTACAAGTGTGGGCCACCATACATGGCCGCCAGGACTTGTTTAGAATCACAGATACATGTGACTGAATGCTTAAGCAAACCTTTTACAGTAGTATAGGGGGAAAAATGAAAAAGAATTCTTCTCAATAAATAGTACTAAATCATGCTTTATAATTCAATTATTGGAATTACTGAACTTTTAATGACTTGTTAGTAAATAGCTTAACCATTTGTCTCTCTTTTGGTTTTTATTTTTAATTGACAAGAATTGTGTATATTTATGAGGTATTCTGTGACTTTTGGATACATCAGTACATGTATACATTATTGAATGATCAAATTAGGTTAATTAACATACCCCTCACCGCAGATAATTACTATTTCTTTGTGGTGAGAACATTTAAAATCCATTCTGTTAGCTATGTTAAAATATACACTACATTATTATTAACCATAGTCACCATGTTGTGATTAACAGAACCTATTCCTCCTGTGTAACTGAATCGTTGTACCCTTTGACCAACATCTCTCCTGTCTTCATCCACACCCCTTCTCTACTCTTCTAGCCTGTGGCAATAACCATGATTCAATTCTCTACTTCTATGAGTTCAACTTTTTTAGATTCCACACATCAGTGAGTTTGTGTGGTATTTGTCTCTCTGTGCCTAGCTTATTTCACTTAGTGTAATGTCCTCTAGATCCATCCATGTTGTATACAGAATTTCCTGCTTTTCAAACGCTAAATATTATTTCATTGTGTATTCATACCATATTTAAAAAATCCATTCATGGCACGTCAGCTATTTCTGTATCTTGGCTATTGTGAATAATGCTGCAGTGAATGTGGGCGTGCAGACATCTCTGACTTCAGTTCTTTTGATATACTGATTTCAGTTCCTTTGGCTGTATACCTAGAAGAACTGGTGGATCAACTATTTCTCTTAATTCCACTATAAACTTTCTCCCCTAATCAAAATGAAGTTTATATCATCAACCAAATATTCTCAGAGAAAGCCTCTAAAAGTAGCTATTTGTATGGTAAATGTTATGATAATTATGAGAGTCAGTCAAGAGTCTTGTGACAAATCTGTTCATTTTACTATTACATTTTATCTAAAATTTTTTTGCCTTTTATTACTAAGGGATGAGAGTCCAATGAAAGCAAACTTCCTTCAAAACATGGTAGAAGACAGAACAGAATCTGCTTTATCATATTATGAATTCCTTTTGCATATACAGCAGCAAGTGAATAAATGAAGAAATTCGACTTAGTTATTTCTAAGAAATGTCATGATAATGCAGAGTACCTAGCAATGTGTAATACCTTCCTTTTCTATTAAGTTGGACTTAATGTGATGATTTAAATGTTCTCACTGTGATTTCAACAAACTATAGCAAATAAAGAACCACAGCAGAGAATCAAACATGCAACTCTGAAATACTGTATTTTTGAAATCAAAATATATCTACATATGATTGATACCTTTTTTCCTTTGCTGCCAATTATGTTTGAGTTATTATGGATTAAAATAAGATGAAACAATATTACAGAGGCAAAGTACATTTTGTAAAATAAAGATGTCTGTGTTCTACATGTATATTTCTCATTTTTTATTTTTCTGAATTTTTGGCTGCTACATTTAAAACCTCACAGGACTGAGTGTTGCAGGGAAGTTACAAATCTATTGATCTTTTAAAAAATCAAAAGTAAATAGAATATATGAAAACTAGAATTCATTCCCATGCCTCTTTTTTTTTCTTAAGGAAGAAAAAGTATTATCATGTTAATTAAAACTAGAGTAAACTAACTCTAGTCTAGCTTGAGAAAAATATGAAGTAATACATTCAAGCTTTAAAATCTGTCAGTATTCTCCATACTTGAAGAACAAAGTCACTTTGGTTTCAAGTGAAAACTATAATGAGGTGTGTTTTTGATTTGGCTGCAAAAGACTTGGAACATACTATGTTATTCTGCAGTGAAAAGAATTTGAGCTGTCTTTATAAATATTGGGACTGGCAATGATAATGGGGAGGTGAGAAACTTTGGTTATCTTGATCATTTAAGTGGGTTTTTATTTGGTACATTTGTGCTCTGAATGTATAATAAAAGTTTTATTTTGGTGAAATGAGTATGAATGAAAGAAATTAAAAGTTTCTTAAATGCTATCTCAAATGCATTAGTAACATTTTTCTAAGAAGGTTAATAATTGGAAGTTACTCATAAGAAATATTTGTTCTTGAATATTAATACCTACTAAAGCATGAATGCTGCTGTTTGATTTGGTGGGTATTAAGATCATACAAGTCCAATATGTTGAAATTATGAAAGAAACTTGATTTCTGAACATGCTCGAGACTGCTTTTTGATTCAGCTAGAGAAATAGTTGAGCAAATTTTGTTTACAAGTAGGTAAATTACACATCTGTATATTTAAAGTACTGTGATATAGTATCTTTTTAAAAGAGTTTGGCTCAGTTTTCAGATTCATCTTGTCTTGTAGTAACTTCTTAAAAGATGTTCATGTGTAATACTTGATAAAAAGATTTTTGGTTTTTTTTGTTTTAATGGGTTAGAAAATATGTTTACATGATCACCAATGAAATAGTAACTTTCACGTTTACAACAACATGAGCTGACTGAAACTGAGTTGTCTGGGATAGGGAAAAAGCAGTCCCTCTAGAATACACAACTACTGCTTGCCAGCTGGATCACAATAATTATGTTTTAGAAAATATCATCTCCCTTAAGGCAGTGTTAAGGTGTTTTCAGTGTGCAAATGGTGCATTGATCTGGAAGGTTTCTTGAAAGCTGCTTCATTTACTAGGAAGCAATTTTCAAATTGTAGTAAATTAAATTTATATTTCCCCCTCTTTTAAAGAAACAGAGTCATTATGTACTAATGTTTCTTAAAATATCTAAAATTTTCCTCTTAATGTGATTTTAAATGTTGATATTTGTAGGTCCTTTCTTAAAAGTAGTAAAGAATCTTCCAGAGGGAAACGTTTGTGCTTTTAGGGATAATCTTCCTTGTGCCTCACCACATCCCTAAGTGGGTATGACTCTTGTTATTACATGTGCTCTGTTAGTATATTTCACACATTTACTTTTAGAAATGTACTTTAAAAATTATTTTAGATACTGTGTAATATGTGCAATCCAGAAAGATCTTATAACAGGTCATAAAAAACATAACTTTAGTTAGGATTCACAATAAATATTTGTTCTCTAGATAATTAGAGAATGAATGAGCCTTTTGGGGATATCGGTTATTTTCTGCAATCCTGAATGTGTTTTTAGTTTGACTGGGGGGGGGCAGTAGGGTATTACCTACTGTATCATCTTGTATTACTTTTTGATGTAAAGCAACTAATATTTACACTATGCCATTTTTTATCATAGTTGTAAATTATGAAAGATCCTTGAATTTTCTACAGATCTACAACTACTCAAGTAACAGACAAGGGCAATCTTGGTATTTAAATCTGAGCATGGCAGTTCTACCATAAAAAATACTCTATTTTTCTAATTTCTAGAATTTTTAAAATAACATTTCTGTAAGTCTGACATACTAATATTCATTTAAGCAGTACCATTTATTTTAGTTTGCATATATTTTCATGGTTTTTAATTTAATGTAATGTATTGAGTCTAATAGACTGTTTTGCAATATTAGAATAAAGATTTATTTCTTCTAATCAAAGATGCATAACAGCTATTATCTAGGGGACCACCAAATGTGATTTCAAGGTTTTGTTAATTACTACAAATGTAATCCTTATATAGAAATTTTAATTTTGTAAAGTAGTGTATAATATTGTAATATTAAATTCTCATTCTCAAATTTAAATATGTATTGAACTTCAGTGTGCTGTGTTAAATCTTGCCTCTCTGAAATGTTAGAGACAAGATTCGTCTTCCTTTTTACAGTTTGTAATTTTCACTGTTTTATTCCTGTAAAAAAAAAAAGTCATTTGTAACCCATGCAAACAATTGTTTGATCTATGCTAACTTATCAATTTGGCTATTCAATAAAGTTAATTGAAAGAGCTTATATATAGTGACTAATTATTTAAAGTGATATGAACTATTTGCCAATCACTAAGTAATGCTATTTTGTTCATCCAAGTTAAATCAATAGAAAACTATTGTTGAAGGTGCCTTAAATGTCCTAAGCAGGTGTCTGGGAGAACATAAAATGAATTCTCAATACTTACTCCTCTAGGATGGCTGGGTTTGAAATTCTAGATTGAAGGTTATTTTTTCCTTGTTAGTGCTCCCTTGTCTTCTGGACCCTTTTGTTACTGATGACAACTGTCAGTCCAACTGTTCATTTAATAATCCTCTGTTAGCTTTTAAGATTTTTTTTTATCCTAAATGTTCTGTAGTTTTATTACTCTAGTCTTATTGTTTATCCTGCTTGTTATTCAGAGCATACTTTAATTTGAAGATCCTTGTCTATAATTCTGAAACATTTCCAGCTATTTTCAAATATTTGTTAACTTGTCATTCCCTCTATTTTTCTATTTTACCCCAGAATTTCTATTGAATGAATGTTTTCACTGATTTCTTTTTTGACTATGTCCAGATTGGAGTTTAATCTCATCTATTGACTTTTATATTTGCATTACTACACTTTACATTTCCAAGATTTTTTATATCGAAGTGTTTTTGATTAATTTTTATCTGCTTTTATTTAATAAAATGTATTGTTTTTAATGAGCAAAATACCTTTATTTCTGAGCATTTCAAACATACTTATTTTAAAACTGTTCTCTAAGATTCTCTCTGGAATAAAATACCTTTTTTTAGTTTAAAGAGACAGGGTCTTTCTCATTCTTTCACCCTGGCTAGAGTGGTGTGATCATAGCTCACTGCAGTCTCCCAACTCTTGGTCTGGGCTCAAACGATCCTCCTGCTTCACCTTCCCTAGTAGCTAGGCAAGTACTATCGCATCAGCTAATTTTTTTCTCATTATTGATTTTTTTTTTTTCTCCAGAGTTTCACTCTGTTGCCCAGGCTAGAGTGAGTGCCGTGGCGTCAGCCTAGCTCACAGCAACCTCAATCTCCTGCGCTCAAGCAATCCTCCTGTCAGCTCCGAGTACTGGGACTACAGGCATGCGCCATCATGCCCGGCTAATTTTTTCTATATATATTAGTTTGCCAATTAAATTCTTTCTATTTATAGTAGAGACGGGATCTCGCTCTTGCTCAGGCTGGTTTCGAACTCCTGACCTCCAGCAATCCGCCCGCCTCGGCCTCTCAGAGAGCTAGGATTACAGGCGTGAGCCACCACGCCCGGCCCCTTTCTTTTGCCTTTAAAAGAAATTAAAATTATCCTTGTCTTTCCTGTGATACTAAAAAAAAAAAAAAAGAAATTAAAATTAGAATCTGGCTGGGCAGGGTGTATAATATATATACAAAAAATTAGCCGGGCATAGTGGCGCGTGCCTGTAGTCCCAGCTACTCAGGAGGCAGAGGCAGGAGGATCGCTTGAGCCCAGGAGACTGAGGTTGCTGTGAGTAGGCTGACGCCAGGGCACTCACTCTAGCCTGGGCAACAGAGTGAGACTCTGTCTCAAAAAAATAAAAAAAAAAAAAAAGAATCTTTTCGTGGGCCCTCCACACTTCACCTACGGTGTCTATCAGGTAAGTTGACCCTGCGGTGTGATTCTGGGAATCGCAGCAGTGAACAAAACCCAGTGCTTGCCTCCTTGGAGCTTACATTCTAGTTAGTGAGAAACGGACAACAAACAAAACCCGTGCCTTTAGCATGCAAGGTGCTAAGGAGGAAACTAAGGGGAATGGGGAGTGTTGGTAATTTTGATATAAAGGACACCAAAGGCTTCACTAGGAAAGTTCGATTCGAACAAAAGAGTGAGGAAAACCTGGGGACAAAACAGCCGTATACGTGAGGGAAGTGCAGTTCAAGATGAAAAATAGCACCAAAAAGAAATCTCAGCTTAACGTGCCCTTAAGTATCGCTTCCAGAGCTTTATACTTCCACGGCCTACGAGCGAGGCCGCCGCAATCGCCATTTTGCTTCCGGGCACCAGTCGCGGCCGGGCCTACACGTCACTGCCATCCCTTTCCCATTCCTCAGTCTCGGTGCCGGCTTGCTTCACCTCCGATTGAACGGCAGAGGGCGCCCAGTGGCGGCTGAGGGGAGCGACGGGGCATCGCGCGCATCTGCCCTCACCCAAGATGGCGGCCAGAGCCTCGCTAGGTCCCACCGCGCGGCGTGCGCATGCCTAGCTCGCCCGCTCGGCGTCGCGCTCGGGGGCGGGTCTACGGTGGGAGGGGGACGCGCTCCCTGGGGTCCTGTCTCAGGTCGGCGGGGCCACAGCTGCAGCCACCGCCGCCCCCGCCGTCACTCCCAGACTGTGGAGGGGAGGATGGAGTCGGTGACCGTCGCTGCCGACGGTGGGGACAGGTCGGGGGCCTCAGCAGGCTCAGGCCTGTCGGCTTCCCAGCGCCGGGCCGAACTGCGGCGGAGGAAGCTGCTCATGAACTCGGAACAGCGCATCAACCGGATCATGGGCTTCCACAGGCCCGCGAGCGGCGCGGGTGAGTCTCCCTTTCCTCTCAGCCTCCCGTCACCCCTTTAAATCTTCAGGATCCTTCTTCCCCGCCCCCGCCCCCACTCGGTCGACCTTACTGACCAAGCCCTGCTCTCTGACCTCCTCCCTGTCCCCGCCCCTTAGCCGGTAGCCCAAGTTCACTCCTTGACCCCGGGAGCTTTCTAGTCGCGCCCCCAGCTTTCCAGGGCTGCGTCCGCCGCGGCTGCGAAGCCCTGTCTCCTGAAACCCTCCAGCCGGTTTCCTTGGAGGGCCCCTTTCTGCCCTGCCCACACCCTCGCCTTCCGTGAAGGGCGCACATTTTATCCCCAGACTTCTTCGCCCACTGCGCCCCTCGGGCACGCCGCTTCCCTGTCTTAACATTCCAAGTGCCTTCCCTTCCAGTGCCTTCCCTAGCATCTGCCGCCTTTTGTCTTTTCCTGTATAATTCTTCTCCGTCCCCATCGGCTTGTCTTCACTCAACTACCACCTAGTCCTTCCTACGTGGATCAGACTCCTAGCTCAGTTCTGTGTTCAGCGCCCTCCACACTGTCACCTGTGGGCTTTCTAGAAGAGGTGGGGAAAGTAGGAGTGAGCATTCTGTGTGACCCCAACAAGTGTGACATGCATGCCTGAGGTTTCCTCTCTTCATTAGCTCAGGTTGATGTGATTGGTGTTTAGAACTGCATTTAAGCCTAAAAGGACAGTTTCTAATTCCTCCCCAAAGACATGTCCAGTGAGATTCTTAAAAAAATTTTTTTTCATGTGAATATAATTGAACACTTAGTATGCCCTTAGTATTCCATTGTTTCCTTTAATAATTGACCCTTTGTCGCTGGTCGCAAGCTCCTTAGATCTTTGTGACTTGTTCTGTGAGGCTTTAGATACATACCTCTGAACTTCTGGACAGTTCAATGAGATGTAAGAGCACCATTTCAAATTCTCCTAGAACAAAAGTTAGAAGGAATGTTTTTCTATCAGGATAGTTATTCTTTCCCATTTATTGGTGTTTCTTGAGGTAATTTCTATATTTTGTTCTTTTGCTTTGAAAATTTTATACCTTTAAAGGTTTTTTTGTTTTGTTTTGTTTTTGTTTTTAAAAAAACGACAGCAACATCCTAAAACTGCTGAAGTGCCTACTAATGGCTGCCTTACTACATAAACAGTAGCTGTAGGGTGTGCCACACCCTATGCTCACAGGGATCTGGATTCAGAAATCAGATTTTAAAGTACAGATTTTTAAAGGCTTTAATAGTTTTATGTTTTTAACCATATAAGCTAGAGCAGGCAATGCAGTCATATTTCTGGGATATATAATCCATGAAAATTTGGTCTTTACAGCTTGCTTCATCCCTGAATATCTTTCCCAATTTGTTAACTACTCTTATCTCCTACCATAAAGTTTGGGTTATTTCCTGTGCAGGAATACTTTTTAGGTGATACATTTTGAGGATGTAGAGACACTAATCTTTGTTTTACAAAGAATCAATCAGTATTTATTTATTTATTTACTTATTTTTTTTTTTTTGAGACAGAGTCTCGCTTTGTTGCCCAGGCTAGGGCAACAAAGTGCCCTACAACAGAGTGCCGTGGCGTCAGCCTAGCTCACAGCAACCTCAAACTCCTGGGCTCAAGTAATCCTCCTGCCTTAGCCTCCCGAGTTGCTGGGACTATAGGCATGCGCCACCATGCCCGACTAATTTTTTTCTGTATATATTAGTTAGCCAATTAATTTCTTTCTATTTATAGTAGAGACGGGGTCTTGCTCAGGCTGGTTTGTAACTCCCGACCTTGAGCGATCCGCCCATCTCGGCCTTCCAGAGTGCCAGGATTACAGGCGTGAGCCACCACGCCTGGCATGCAGCAGCATATTTTTAAATATTAACATGTAAGATGTTTGCCAGTAAAGTACATAAGGCTTTTAAATTTCTTTTCTCAGAAGAAGAAAATCAAACAAAATCAAAGCAGCAGGACAGTGATAAACTGAACTCCCTCAGCGTTCCTTCAGTTTCAAAGCGAGTAGTGCTGGGTGATTCGGTCAGCACAGGAACGACTGACCAGCAGGGTGCTGTGGCTGAGGTAAAGGGGACCCAAGTGGGAGACAAATTGGACTCTTTCGTTAAATCACCCGAGTGCAATAATGATGTCAACCTTGAGCTTCGGCAGCGGAACAGAGGGGACCCGACAGCAGACACCGTCCAGAGGGGTTCTCGCCATGGCCTAGAACAGTACCTTTCCAGATTTGAAGAAGCAATGAAGCTAAGGAAACAGCTGATTAGTGAAAAACCCAATCAAGAGGATGGAAGTACAACAGAAGAGTTTGATTCTTTTCGAATATTTAGATTGGTGGGATGTGCTCTTCTTGCTCTTGGAGTCAGAGCCTTTGTTTGCAAATACTTGGTAAGAAAAGAGCTGTAAACTATTAACTAACTTAATGGAAAATGGAAATTGATTATAATAGTGAGTGCTTTCAATCCATAGAATCATTACC